TGGCGGCCCGCGAGCAGGAGGTGGCGCTGTTTCCCTGGCCTGTTAAAGCCCAGTTGGCGGCTCTGCTTCCCGACCTGCTGGCCCGGAAGACCGGGCACCAGAACTCGAGGTCGCCGCGGCGCAGGGCGTCCTCTCTGATGGGAGAGGGTCATGGCTCCGCCGGGGCGGTGGCACGCCTGACTGGCGGTCTGTGCGCCTTTTCACCGCGGGCCGCCCCCTCGCAGAAGCTTCGAGAGACTTCGTTTTCAGGGCCGAAGGACACTTTGGGATGAAGTGGCTCAGCCCTTGCGCCACTTCCGTTAGGAGGAAATGAAGACGCAGAGAGAAGAGCGTGTTTCCAGGGCCATACGGCGGACTTTGACCCCAAGTTTTCTCCCAACCTTGAGCGTTTTCCGCCACCTCTGGATTCATGAATGTGCCCGCGCTTGTGCTAGGCCTTCGCTATTGTAAAAGTTACCTTTGAGAATCTCTCTTTTAACAAGTACTGAGTTTATGTGTCATAGATACGAAGATGGGTCATATAAGGTGCCTGTTCTCACCTGAGCTGTCCATACAACTGAAGTTCCTTTCCCTTGGCAGTGGTTTCTCTCCCTTCCATGGGATGGGAAGCCCTAGGGTTAGCCTTGGCCTGGGGCCTGAGAGGGTGGGAGGTGAAGGGTAGCTGGCTTCAAAAGAAATGGGTGTTTGTGGTAAATCTTCACCATCAGCCACTCCTGGAAACCAAGAGGGTGGCTCTCTAGGTTCCCAGAGGAAGTAGCAACCAGCCTGGCCCTGAACTTCTTTTTCCTTTTTCTACTATGTATTTGTTTTCATTTAACTTTATTTATTATTATTTTATTTGACAGGAACGAGAAAGCAATATATATATATATTTTTGATGTTTCCTTTGCACTAGGCTGATGTGTGGAGGGGAAGGAGCCTAAAACTTCAGGATATGCAGCTAATGGAGTAACATTTGCTTTGTTGATCAGGGTTTACATTAATGAACAGGTTCAGCCTGACCTGCAAGTCAGAACAGGGCATTACATTAGTGACATTGTGGAGTGTGAGTGATCATTATAGGGAAGCAGGGAGGTGTGCTGGGTTCCTGGGGTGGGTGTAAGGGAAGGGGACCTGGACACACTACTGCTTCTGAAGGGCCATTCTTTTAGCATTACTCTGGTTTCTTGAGGTTTGCCACTGACAAGTTAGAGCTTTGCCTGTACCTGCAATTGTACGCATTCTCACATCCTGATTCAGTGTCCAAAGGGGAGAAAGAAGCTAATATTTACTTTCCATGTAAAATAAAGAACTACTTAGATTGTTTTTTTTCTGACAACAGTAAGATTCATGTGTATCTCATAAAATTTACAAAACACCTCATTCTTTCTATTACTGCCTGTTGATTCTCTGAAGGAGAACTTGGGGGGTGGAGGGAGAGTCTATTAATATTTCCTGCCATCTATTAAGCTTAACTGCCATGTCACTTGATTGGCCCTCAAGGTGTCTTCTGTGTATTAAAGAAATGCACCCTTTGTCTGTATGAGCAAACATATTTTCCCAGTTTATCATTTATCTTTGAATTTTTATGTTTATTTTCCCAACTGTATCACTCTTTTAGGAACGACTACCTATCTTTAGCTGCAGGTAGGTCCTGGCCACCTCTGATATGATAGATTCCAAAACTTCTCCTGTATCTCCAGACTGCATTTTGCCACCAGAGTAATGATTTCACTCAGTTGATTCTGTTCCACTATCCAGAGTGCCAGGAGTACATTCCCTGTAAAGATACAGGACAGGCTGACAGGAGCCAAATTTCTAAATTCACTTGGTCGGGGGCAAAATCCCCAGTAACACAATCAACTTGATCCAGTGTGAATATCATGCAATATAGGTTAAGGGTTTTTGGCTCTATACGTTAGGTTAGGTTAAAATACTGCTTTAGGTTCTCAAAATATGTCTAGGAATATTCCTAAAGGTATTTTTGATAATCTTCCTCTACAAGTATACCAACAGTAGGAGAAGGGTACTGGCAAAGAGATTCACAAAATATAGATTCAAGTTCAAACCTAATTAAAAAACAAAAACCAAAAAAACTGTAAAAGGGCACGTGTACTTACCCAAAAGAAACAGAAAAAAAAAGGAGAGAAAGAGGCAGTGTAGCTGCCCGCAGCTACGGCGGGCCGCGAGCAGGAGGTGGCGCTGTTTCCCTGGCCTGTTAAAGCCCAGTTGGCGGCTCTGCTTCCCGACCTGCTGGCCCGGAAGACCGGGCACCAGAACTCGAGGTCGCCGCGGCGCAGGGCGTCCTCTCTGATGGGAGAGGGTCATGGCTCCGCCGGGGCGGTGGCACGCCTGACTGGCGGTCTGTGCGCCTTTTCACCGCGGGCCGCCCCCTCGCAGAAGCTTCGAGAGACTTCGTTTTCAGGGCCGAAGGACACTTTGGGATGAAGTGGCTCAGCCCTTGCGCCACTTCCGTTAGGAGGAAATGAAGACGCAGAGAGAAGAGCGTGTTTCCAGGGCCATACGGCGGACTTTGACCCCAAGTTTTCTCCCAACCTTGAGCGTTTTCCGCCACCTCTGGATTCATGAATGTGCCCGCGCTTGTGCTAGGCCTTCGCTATTGTAAAAGTTACCTTTGAGAATCTCTCTTTTAACAAGTACTGAGTTTATGTGTCATAGATACGAAGATGGGTCATATAAGGTGCCTGTTCTCACCTGAGCTGTCCATACAACTGAAGTTCCTTTCCCTTGGCAGTGGTTTCTCTCCCTTCCATGGGATGGGAAGCCCTAGGGTTAGCCTTGGCCTGGGGCCTGAGAGGGTGGGAGGTGAAGGGTAGCTGGCTTCAAAAGAAATGGGTGTTTGTGGTAAATCTTCACCATCAGCCACTCCTGGAAAGAACGAGAAAGCAATATATATATATTTTTTTTTTAATTTATTCTTTTTTCTTTTTCTTTTCTTTTTTTTAATTTGAGAAAGAGAGAAAGCAAGCTGCCAGGTCTGGGACTCGAACCGTGGTTGGCCATGTGGGAGTGTCTGGCACCCTAACCACCATGCTGCTTGCTGGTCCCCGGTCCCTGAATACTTCTAAGTAACACCACGTTAATGGATAAAGGATGATGTTTCCTTTCCACTAGCCTGATGTGTGGAGGGTAAGGAGCCTAAAACTTCAGGATATGCAGCTAATGGAGTAACATTTGCTTTGTTGATCAGGGTTTACATTAATGAACAGGTTCAGCCTGACCTGCAAGTCAGAACAGGGCATTACATTAGTGACATTGTGGAGTGTGAGTGATCATTATAGGGAAGCAGGGAGGTGTGCTGGGTTCCTGGGGTGGGTGTAAGGGAAGGGGACCTGGACACACTACTGCTTCTGAAGGGCCATTCTTTTAGCATTACTCTGGTTTCTTGAGGTTTGCCACTGACAAGTTAGAGCTTTGCCTGTACCTGCAATTGTACGCATTCTCACATCCTGATTCAGTGTCCAAAGGGGAGAAAGAAGCTAATATTTACTTTCCATGTAAAATAAAGAACTACTTAGATTGTTTTTTTTCTGACAACAGTAAGATTCATGTGTATCTCATAAAATTTACAAAACACCTCATTCTTTCTATTACTGCCTGTTGATTCTCTGAAGGAGAACTTGGGGGGTGGAGGGAGAGTCTATTAATATTTCCTGCCATCTATTAAGCTTAACTGCCATGTCACTTGATTGGCCCTCAAGGTGTCTTCTGTGTATTAAAGAAATGCACCCTTTGTCTGTATGAGCAAACATATTTTCCCAGTTTATCATTTATCTTTGAATTTTTATGTTTATTTT